TCTGCAGAGCAGAACTTGCCTTCCACAGCAATTATTTTTAGTTAGCATTATAGCTAAAATCTAACCATGGTTATATAATAACAGCTGCATTCTGGTGCGATAAGCTGTGTGTTTTATATTCAATTAATGTATGATCCGATTAGTCGACTAATCGAAAAAATAATCTGTGATTAATCGATTATAAAAATAATCGTTTGTGGCAGCTCTAGTTCCATCACTTTATAATTACACACTTTTTAGGTTAAAAACTATCCTTACAATGAAAATGTGGAATTTAGGGGGAAAAAAAGGGAAAAAGTGGAATCTCTAAAAATAAAAACAGAAAAAAACAGAATTTGGGAAAAAAATATAAAACAGATTTTAGTGRACCCTATGTAGTGGAATAGGGCTGGCTTATTCCGGTGTGTGTAGGTCAGTCAGAAATCACACCGAGACAGCCAGAAGGCGTTTTATAAAAGAGCCAAATATTTATAACAGTCTAATAACCAAAGTTGGTCCACAAGGGTACACATGATGATTTTGAGTGGAGGCGTCAGGATTAGGCTACAGAAAAGAACGAAAGTCAATACAAAGTCCCTACAAAGGATAGAAAAAACAAATGTGTGTGTGTATGTGTTACTGTTATACACACCTCCTGGTCATGGTTTCTGAGGCCGATGCAGATGGAACGGCTGGCTCTGGACAGGACAGCTGTCATGGCGTACAAGTTGATGATCACGTCKGCGACTTTCTTCAGGACCAGCTGTTCGTCCACAATGCTCTGACATCAGCAGCATGGAGACGGGAGCAGACAGAGGCTTGGAAAGAGTTCACTGATTGAGAAGTGTTTCATGTTTAAAACCAGTGAGATCAGTTTCCTGTCATCTGAACACAGAGAAAGATGATCTGACGAGGTAGTAAATTAAACTTGGTGTTAGGTCAGGGAGAAGTTATCTTGTGGCTTTCATCACATCAACTGCCGCTGTTGGTGCCCATGTCTGTCAGCAAAATATCTCATGAAACATTGGGCTAATTTATCCATGCTGGAAATATTAATTTTGAGCACAAGTTTACTAACATGTAAATATAGAGGAACTCAGCTGTTTGTTAGAACATAGATCTTCGTTTATTTAATAGTTGATATGAAGAAACGAGTCACTGCGCCTCAGTGGAGAGTTTTTATGACGTGACGTGATGTCGGCGATTTAAATTTTAGAATCATACGTTTCATTTGGGCATGACTTAGCTTTGGGTGGRCTGGACTGGCACAGTTTTGAATGGTCTGTCAGCTCCCTCTGGAAAGCCCCTGTGGAATCCCAGTGTGAGCGCTGCACGTGCATGCTCAGCGCACAGCTCCCCACTGTGTGTSGCGCTCCCAGAATGCCACAGCTCAAAGAAGCTGCAAAAGTATTTTTCTTAGAAGTTATAAACTATCTGTGTATAAACATGCTCTGTGTGTTACACTATTATATTCTCCACCTCTAAGTGTCGCAAATGGAACCAGAACCACAGAAACGTGCGTACGCCACCCTTGGAATTGGCGTGGGGCTGTGCTTATTTCCACGTTCATTTCAGTTTTGATATMTCAGGGGCCTCATGTATAAACGGTGCGTATGCACAAAAAAGTTGCTTGCACCTGGTTCTACGCCCACGTTGGGATGTATTAAAACCAACGTTGCGTGAAAGTCTGCGTATATTTACGCACACTTTTCACCTGCCGTGAGAATGTGCGGCAGCAACGCAAAGTTTTTCAGTCGACAGTTTTAACTCACAAAGTCATGAATCTGACCTGAATCCACAGAAATATGACTTTGTTCTGTTTTCTAGATGTAAGGAGCGTCTGAACACGGTGTTAGATTTTTATTTTAGTTTGAGTTTTTATTGTTTAAACTCGAACGATCATGAAACTGAACCCCGGGACTGAAAATCATTTAACCTCAGATGAAAATAGATCAGCCTAAAAATGATCAAAAGAACCTCAGTCCAGTCTGTAAACTGTAATGTTTTTATATTTTTGTCACGTAGTTGGAAACACACGCAGAGCGCAGGCCTGCGAGGCGCACACACAGCTGAGGAAAATAAAATGTGTGAACTGTCTAAGAAACATTTTTCATTTTCACTGAGAAAAAAAACGTCAACTCAGCATATTAATTCAGAACAACTCAGCTGTGATGATTCCTCAGCTCCACAAGACGCAATAGATTGCTGCGTAAAGTTGTGCGTATGGATCAATGTCAGCTGTTCCCAGTCCCAAACCGCGGCAAAAACTCGCAGAGCTGCGAGTCACTTGTTTCTTCACATCAACTATTTAATAAATATTTTTCCAGGTTCTACAAAAGTCATAAGTTTCTGTGTTTACAGTCATTTATTAAAGATGTGTAAAGGTGGAAATGTCTGTCAGCCTCATGCGCCTCTGAAAATAACAGCACACGCGCATACACACCAACACCCACACACACCTTTGCGAGTGGCAAACACATTTTTACACCCCACTACTTATTTAGACAAATTTCTCACTCATTCTCCATTTAATGTATAATTTCCCTGCATCTAAAAATCTTTTCTGCTCCCACAGAGAGGACAATCTGAGAATCTCACACGCTGGACACATTTACATCTTATTTTACATATTTAAAAGGAGGCGTGTCAGGGGAGGTRTCTCACGTGCGCTMAGTTCCACGTTTATTGGGATGTATRAAGGAAAGGTGCGCAGGAACTTGCGTATGCACAGTTTTATACATCTGAATATTTTGGTGCGGCGYGCTTTTCTRAMTTTGTYCGTACGTCAAATTTTAGTGTGAAAGCTGCGCAATCATGAGGCCCCTGGAGTTTTGAGTAGAAAAGTGCATACACAAGTTTTTTGTGTGTACGCACCATTGATACATGAGGCCCCAGACCTTTAATCCTTTGAAATAAATCTCAAAATGTTTTACATTGTGGCTGAAATGACGAAACAACAAGGGAACTAACTTAAAAGGATCCTTCAATGCTTAMAGACTGGTTAGTTAAAACAACCTCTGAAGATTCAATCTATATTTTACTGACAGATTGCTGAGGAATAGTCCCTAAAGTCTGTATTTAAAGGTCATCTGATGTGCTTAATGTTGACCCAGCCGACACTTTCAGTACTGCAGGGACTCAAACCAGTTCAAAGAACTACTTCTGCAGTGACTAACGGCTGTCATCACAACCAGGGTAAAACCTAACACATGGGATGCAATAACAATGGCAGCGTTTCAAATCACGCTCTCTTCACAAACRCTTGTCTTCACAAAATTTGATTGGTTCTTCTACTGCTTTTGTAAAGGTTATTGGTGGTTCGGAAAAAAAATCAAAGTTAGTCAATGAAACCCATGCTGATTTATTTTAACGCCATGAGACAGTGACAAAAGTTGAACATTTTTCAACATTCATTTGTCATGTCGCAAGCTTGTGTGTGCACATCTACGTGTACAAGCAYGAAATTTCAAATGCACGATTTTCGCCAGTCTGGAGGAGGGTGAGCGATTGTCTCCTCATCACACAAGCTCCATAGGAAATGAATGGAGAGAAAGCAATGTCGCTCCCCATGTGTCAAGCCCCTGAAGGAGTWCACCCTGCAGCTGCTTACCTTTCCATATCTGTACAGCAGGCTCTCCACAGTGGACCCGAAAGCGTTGACGTTCTGCTCAAACTTCTTTGCACTTTCCTTTGAACACAATGCAAATGTCTGAACTTCTAAAAAAAAAAAAACCTGAACCAATAATAAATAATTAAAATGTTGTAAACGGAAGAAGTGAAGTTCTTACTTCCAGGCTGCAATGCACCACCCAGTCCTCCTGCCCAGTCAGGCCGAGGTCCACGGACCCTCCCAGTGTGGTCCTCAGCTTCTTTCCAGCTGTGCTCAAAATCAGAGACATGTTTCCGCTCTTCATCTCCCTGCAGGTCGGTAYAAACTGAAGGTTACAAAGCTGCCAAAAGTCAGAGGAGAGATGAAATACTGGGAAGGGCTTACCACCTTCTGTAAGGAGGAATAAAAAGATTTGTGRTGTAAACAAACACAAACAAAACCACATCAAACCTTCCTCCTCCTCTAATGTAATCTGAGTAGCAAACTAATCTGTTGAGGAAAAGATTTAACAAAATCTAAATCCTTTGAAGGAGCTATATAAAAGAGAAACATCACTAATGCTGCTGTCCCACCTCCTCTAACCGGGTGAATGAAAGTCAGTAGACATGCGCACACAGGTCAGTTTGCTACAATCAGAATAAGATGATCCGTTTAAATGTTTACATGAACCTCATTCTGATCATCAATCGGCATAACCCACCCTTTTCATTCGGATTAAAAATTCATTCAGATCGAGCTCAATCGGATCAGAATAATCGGAACGGGCTGTTTACATGATGCATTTTTATTCCGAATGGCTGTTTAAACCAATTACTTATGTCCATGTAAACGTAGCTCATGATGAGCTGATGGAGCTGTTCTGCATCTGCAGTTGTGGAGAATTAGCAGAGGCCACTATAACTAAGAAGTCTGGGACTTCCATAGAAATTCAGCAGGGTGGTCATATAATTTATGTGTTTACCAGTACATGTATCTGCATTAGATTTTTAAATTTACACATAAAATTCTTGTTTATTTGATTATTAGTTTATTTAGTAAGTTTTGTTTATCTCTTTCAGACATGTRATTTTTGTGGTCACAAAAGATCCTGGAGAAATCAACCTATTCTCCACAAAAACAAGCCAGCCTGCAACCTTCTCCTTTCTGGGGCCATGCACTTCACAGGGTGTATGGTGTCCCAAACTTTACGTATGCGGTCACTCTTAGGTGTAWAGACTATTTCAGCTGGAACTTATTTTAGGCACCAAAGGCTGTACACAATTCCATCCATCATTTTAACCGGGCAGGAACAACAGTCGGCTTTAATGCAGCAGCTGAAGGAACTTTGTGGCGGTATGCTGTTGTCTGGTGACTGCAGATCTGACAGCCCTGGGCACTGTGCAAAATATGGCTCATACAAACTCATAGAGGAAAGACTAAACTTGGTCACTGATGTCCAGCTTGTGCAGGTATGCTCACCATTATGGATTTCATCCAGACATCTGTTGAAGTTGATTTAAACTGTTTTAAAGTGATCTGTTTTCTTTTTTATCTGTACTGATGCATTTTATTCCTTTACAGGTCCTTCTCAAAAAAATTGCATACTGTGATAAAGTTCATTATTTTCTGTAATGTACTGATAAACATTAAACTTTCATATATTTTAGATTCATTGCACACCAA